AAGTTCTGCCTTTGAAACCCACTCCTATAGTCAACACAAAAGCTCAAGGAGCTAAGGATAATGCTAACAGCTGATAGTATATTCTAAAATTGGATGGTAGCTGCAAAAGGACAGCTCTTTCTCTTCCAAGAAAAGGTTATCTTCTCTGCAGGATGCTGGGACCTATTGGCAGAAACAAATGTGCTGTAGTTTGTACTCTGACCTGCTGTATCTAACCTCTGGCTAAATTACTGAGAGGATTTTCCCTTCTAATATTTGTCTTCTTATGCACTGTGCACAAGAATTAAATCCCCACCATTTCCCATTTCATTCCTCGATCTTCACAAGCATGTGGTGTCTCCTACAAGGCACACAGAATGTTTTGCACTTCCTTTGTGATGGTATCCCAGCCACCGGATGTCCGGGCATGGAACGAGGGGCAAGGAGAAAACAACAAGTAGGCAGGGCAGGGATTTGGGCAAAACAAAGAATGACAGATGACTGAGGGCAGCAAAACAGCCCCTGTGCTGAGTGATGAGGACCTTGTTGTATGTTGTATACATAAAAGTGGTGCTGCTGGCCAAGGCTGGCAGTCATAGGAAGAGCTGGAACTGAGCAGGGACAGAGGGAGCAGCCAGTCCCCAGCTGGGCCAGCAGCAATGAGGACTTGCCAGGCACGGTTGGGCTCATCAGACAGAACATGGGTGGAGGCCCACAAGCCATTGAAAACTCCTACAGCTAGATTTTGCCAACACATTTGACTAATATGGAGCATACTCCCAGCTCTGCTTCACTGCAGTGCTGCTTTATGTGTAGGTACCAACTATGTTTGGGAACAGCTCTACATCCTCCTAGGGCACTGCCACAAAAACCTACAGAAAAAGATGGGGAAACAGTGAGGATGTCCTCACACTTTCCCAGTTCTTTGTAGCTGCCGTGTTTCCCCACTGCAAGGTTCAAACATCGCTTGCATTATGCCAGTTCTCCTACTATTCATGCTTCCCAAGTAAGTATGGAGATCCATCCTTTCTCACCTCTATGATCAACCCATTCTCACCTCTGTGCTGCCTTCCAGCCTCTGCCCTTCCACCCCTCTTCAATGCTGATGGGGAGAAAGTGAAGTTCCAACACTCATACAGTACAAGAAATTGCAAAACATTCAGGGCAATGTTTTTTCTCCACATCAAGCTTTTACCAAACAAGAGGCCCAGTCATCCTGCTTTCAAATCTCCTTGGAAAAGTTTGAAATGGTTAAGTGGCAAACTAATGTTCAATATAAAGATCCAAAGGGGAGATATTTTGTTCTCTGAGGGAGAATGCACATTTCCCTTCCAACCCTGGCCTCAGTTAAGTATTACAATAATGACAGATGAGCTCCTCCAATAAGAGGCTTTCCTTTCCTTGACTTCAGTGGTCGATTTTCCAGAGTTTTATGCAACATTTTAATCTCATGTCTTTCAACTCTATTCTCCTGCTATGTTGCTTATGAAAATGGCATTAATAGAAACAGAAAATCTGTTAAGCAGGGTAAGTGCTGCATTAGATATGAGAGCAAAACAAGCAGCCCCTGGCACTGAGCACCAAAAGGATTCCATTAAACAGAAGGAATACACTCTTCCAACTGGCAGAGTGTCATTTTGCTTTGTTGACAGTATATAGTATAATGATTATCCACAGCTGGGATGGGAAAGTATAAATCACATTAATTTTTTAAAACATACTTAGCTATGCAAACCACAGGAATACACAACATTCATACATAGATTATGGCTATGGGATTTGATTTTATTTTTTTTAAGCAATAATTATATATCGGAACTAAATGAAACTCCCATATCTTCATTAGCAACTGCTTCAGATCATCCAAACTACAGAAAGTGCTGAGAAATTAGAATAAACACACTTGGCTGACAGTCCTTTCACAGAAAAAAATATATCTTTAATTTAAATAAAACTTTATAATTCACTCCTTTGCAGCATGCCAGTCTACTTGTTGCTTTGATTAAAAAGTCATTTTTAGTTTCACTAGATGAACATTATTAAAGAGATACTGTCTAAGACTACTGGATTATAAAAATATCTGAACAAGAAAGAAAACTCCCTGATAAAGTTATTAGCTACATATTAATTTCTTTGTGCAAGTGACAGAGACTTACACGATATGGATAATGACTAGGCAAGGACTCTATAGGAACTATGCACATTTATCTTTCTTCAATCACTGTCTTATCTTTTACATATTAAAAAGAAACTCAGAAACTGATAATGTAGACAGCTTGATGACATTTAAATTTCTTGCATTTTCTTCACCCTCTTTTTTTCTTTACCCATTAATATAACCCAACTGTATTAGTCAGCAACTTCTGTTACACAGGACATTGTCTTTGCACAGAACTTAGGGCATGGGATTCCAAACCCAGAATACCCATTCATAGAAGAAACTATATTCATAATTATGTACATTTGAAATCAGGTTTGATAGAATAGCACTAGAAGAAGTATGGACATACATTAACAAAAGACTTCTCTTTTCTTCCTATTCTTAAATTCTGTTTTCATTATTTAGCTTTGTCTTTCATATATAAAAATCATCATAGGTAGGCAGATCTTAATCTTTGTTAAAAACATCCCAGTAAAAAGAAATCAGCATCCCATACAAAGATAATATGTTTGCTGAGAAAGCAATCACTGTATTTTCAGAAAGAAATGGCACGACTTTCCTTTGCTTATGTTGTTAATACCCAGACACTTTTGTTGAAGACCACATATTTTTAAAAACAAGGTAAGCACAATGGCAGCACATGATAAAAGTCATCTTTCTTGCCAATAAGGTAAACAATAGGATTGATTAATATTTAGGCAGGTGAGGGAGGGAAATTAGGAAAGGGGGAGTTGCCAAGAAACTGTCGCCATGAAAGTTGGCCAGAAAACAAGTTCTACTCTGAAAAATGCTGATGATTTGGAAATCTAATTTTTCTCTTCATCAAGATGGACCATCCATTCCTAATCTGGAGAGCCCATTGGAAAGGACACAACTTTATTCGTCAGCCCACTGATACAAGCAGTACAGAAGCTGTCTCTCAATCTCTCCTGTTGGAATACTGGATAGATCAAATATTCATTGAGCTTGGTAAACTACAGACCAGTGCCAAGAGCTTACAGTCAGGGAGAACAAGGACTTTCTCTTGTTCAAGAAAATCATCCTGACTATCAAGAGAGCAAAGCATGACCAAGCTTCTTATGAGCTTGGCTATAAACCAGTTTTGTATCTTTGGCTCCTGCAATAAACTCTGGGTGTGGATGTGTCGGCAGTGTTTATTTTGTTTTTTCCTTCTAACTAGCACATCAGTTGTTGAGTTTCTATCATAGGTAAGGGTTTCTCAACAGCAGGTACCACAATCTATTGGGAACGTCTCCTACTGCATATTTCTCTCTCATATGATTTGAGGGAAACAAATGAAAGAAAGTTTCTCTTTAGCAGGAATTATTTTTGTGAAAATTTTTGTGTCAGCATTTTCCATGAAAAAAAACCAACCAAAACTCAGAAAATTCCTAACCAGCTCTAGTCATCACTTTTCAGAGAAGTTGCATGTCCAAAAAATGGAAATTGAAATGTACGTGGAAAAGGAGTTGAGAAAAGTGTGGTATCATAGTGTCTGTGTCTCTGTGTCACCTGCTAAGAATGCCTGTGAAAACAATATCCTCAATGAGCAGACTGAGCACAGAGGCTATGGTGAGGTTGCTCAGCATCCTAGAGAGCCACACTCATACTTGTAGGGGGAAAACAACAGGTTTTACAGCATGTGATGCTGCCAATCTTTTTTTGACTTTCCCACTCACATCACAAAATATTCCACTTTGAAATCCTATTTCAGAATATTTTTTTTTTCACTAGAAAATGTGGTTACATCTCGGAAGCCATCAACGCTCCTTGCCATACACACTGCCTGATGCCCTCAGACCTTGCCCCAGGACCCAGCCGCCACATGTCCCTGTCCTTCCTCTGCCCAATCCTGGCAGATTCTTTCCCTGAAAGAATTCTTTCCCTCTTGTGCCTGTCCTTTGTTTCTGTCTGTGCAAAGGTCTGACCCTAACAATGTTGCCGGAAGGAAGGAAAGGTTTGCAGAAACCTTTACAAACTTTTTTTCCTTAAACGTCTTCCCAGAGGGCCAATAGAAGGACAGAATTGGCTCTTCAGATATCCAGTCCAAGGGGGACAATTCAGGAAAGAAATTCAGCTAAAGAGCATCCAGCACTTGATTACTTATTGTTTGTTCCCTGCCCCCCTTCACCTCCCGGATTTCATCGGGAACATATAATGAAATTACAAGTATTTCAGTCTGGAAATAGCATGTTCATGCTGCTGAACTTCAGCAAGGACATGCCCTTTCAGCAACGCACTGTCCTGCGTTTGGGGCATTCCTTGTCAACGACTGTTATTTAACACTCGTTCTACCCCTGGAAACTGAGGATACATGGTGATGTCCTGAAAATGACCGGGGAGAACCTTCTGGGCAACGATGAGATTCCCTTCTCCTCTCTCCCGGATTCCAGGTCTGCCCGTCGTGAGCTAGCCCCGCGCCCCGCTTACGCGGGAAGGCGGTGGTGGGAGCATCGGCCCCTCCGCAGACCCCGGGACGGGACGGGACGGGACGGGACGGGACGGGCGGGAGGTGCCTCCCGCAGAACTGCCGTGGACGCCCTTCGCGGCCGGAGCACTGCTTGTCCCGACCACCGCACGCTCCGCTCCTCTCTCCCCCGCATGGTCCCGCACTGCTGTGCTCCGCGGGATCGGGAGGAGCGGGGCGGGCACGGCGCACCCGTCCCCGCCCGGCCGCGCAGGTGGAGCTGCCGGGAGCTGCCGGGCGCTGGAGGCAGCGGGGTCTCCCCGCCCGCTCTCCCGCCCCACCTGCGGGGTGCGCCCCGAGCACTCTCCCTGCCCCGGCGGAGCGGGGAAGAGGGGACGTGATGCGGTTGCGAGGCGCAGGGGGGTTCGCTATCGAAGTGATAGAAGCACTGACCTGCCGCGGGGATGGCGGTGGGCAGCAGCAGCAGCAGCTGGTGGAGCAGCAAGGCTGGCAGGAGGTGGGTGGCCCGCATGGTGCTGGCGGCCCCACCTGCGACTGGCGGGGAGGAGAAAGGGAGATGGCTCCTCGGAGGGACCCCGTGCACCGCCGGTCACTAGAGGAGGCAGAGTGAGCTGAGCTTTTTATTGCGATGATCTAAGTTTGTTGTGTGATTAACTAGAAAGATCTGGGTCCCAACTCCCTCTTACGGTAAGAAACTGTTTAACAACATCCCCTCTCTGCCTCTTCTCCTCCTCCTCCCCTCCTCAGGAGCTGCCTCCCCTCCCTCCCGCCCCTCAACCAGCCCAGGGAGAGGGCTTCCACCGGCTCATCCCTCCCTTCATCTTTCCCTCCCTCCTCCTCCCCGCCCTTCTCCCTTCATCCCTTAGAGGCTCGGGAGGGGCAACCTGGCCGGCCACTCAGCTCTTGCCCCGGGGCTGGTGTCTCCCACTGCACAATTCCCCGAAGCACCCCCTAGTCCTTCCTGGCCTCACAGCCTCCACTGCCATCCCTCCTGCAGCCAAAACAAACCTCTCCTTCCCCGCAGACATTTCCCTTCACTATGTCCCCCTTTCTCCACCTGCCCCTTGTCCTTGTCCCCAGGCAGCATCCTCATCCATAGCTGTTTCAGTGGGACTCTCCCACCCCATGGCCGGTTTCTCTGTAAGGAAACACCTTTCCTCTGACCTGCCCATGCCTGTCCCTGGCCACCAGCCTGGCCTTTCCATCACCCTCTTTGGCCATCTGACAAATGCCACTTCCCCAAAATTGTGGCAACTCTGGGGAATTTAAAGGTCAAGTATCAGCTGCTGGCATCGCTCCATGGAGACAAGCTTCAGTCCAAAGCAATGCCTGACCTTCCTTCTGTCGCAGGCAAAGTCGTTGTAATTCTTCTCTTGCACTTCATTTTAACCTCATGGAAGCAATGACATTGGTTTCTGTTTAAAGTCATGAGACCGGCCTTCATGACATGCAAGTGTTCGAAAATAAACACTTGAGGAGAAGTTTTGCCTTAATTTAAACTGTTCCTTTCTCCCATGCACCCACCTACTGTCTACAGCACAAGTGTGTGACAACAGAGGAAACTGTTTCCCTCCATTTTCCTCAAATAAACCAGAGACCTGCATGTGGCCTCATGCCACGTGAGTCAGAAAAATGTGTCTCCTTGTCCAGCCCAGACTCCTTTGCCCATAATGTTGATAAACACCTTGGAATGAAACAGTTTTTCTTAAAAAACAGGTTGTTTCCCCAGCCAGAAATAACTTTTAATCAAGTATTCCCAAATATATATACATATATGTGCTCAGGGGCAAAACCTAAAACTTCCACTTGGGAATTACTGCCTTGCTAAGTGAAAGTAAGGGGACAAAAGGGAGTTGAGAGATAGTCTGTGAAGAAAATATTTTGAACATTTGGCATTACAGGAAAAACATATTTATGTGAAAAAAAAATACTTTCCATTGCAGAATGAGCATTATTTCTAGGATTTTTAGTTGATTTTTTTTGGTTTTGTTGTCGTCCTTGTTTTTCTCACAAGCATAAAAGTTAATTTACAGGGGTTTTCTAAAGATGTACAACCTGAGAAACAGAGAACGTGTGTTCCACTGGCCAACAATCTTGTGTACAATCCTTGTCCACTGCAACTGATAGAACATGGATATCTTGGGTTTTGTTTTCTGTTTTTCTCCCTGTCAAAGATAGACATAAGTATAAACAAAAAGCAACAACAAATAATCATAGCACCATGCTGAGCCTGAAATAGCCACATTCTGTTAACCAGATGTATTTGACTTGTTGTCCGTGCATGTGTTGAGTGACCTTTTTTGTAGAGCACAGAATCATGCGCCATTAAAGTCAAGTAGATTTTTTTTTGCCACTGACTTCCCTGAGGGGAATATTTGGCCTGTAGTCAGATTTATCCTGAATTTTAGGAAGATTTGTTGCTGTGTCTCTTGAGGAATAAGGTGCTCCTTAATGGAGAAAATATTTTGCCATGTGGATTTCTATTATTAATACGTAGTCCTGTAGATTATTCACGCTTCTCAGTTCTGCATGAGAGTTCAAGTCATGGTCATATGCTTCCTTGGCTGCATATATTATGCTGGGGAGGTGCAACTTCATTATCCTGGTTCTCCATTTGTCCAATTTTGGGGCACTGCTGGAGGACACCTCTGCCTTTTACATAATCCCTATATATCTCCCCTCAGTGGAAACCAGGTCACACTGAGTAGAAGGCCAGGGAGAGACGGCACATTAGAAAGGGAAAGATCATATAGAGACTATGTTTAGATGTTCTATTTGTAGGCAGTCAAGACAAAGATTTGCATCTGGATCTGTGAAATGAAAATGCTCTTTGGTCCTTCATCGTATACTGCGAAATGTGGTATGATCCTTTTTCTGTGTCTTCTGACCCCATGTATTTTACAACCGAAGCTTACTAGTTTAGTTCAGTTTCAATCAAATTTTACCTTGAAATGAATTTCACTGTGAAGGAAGGCTGCAAAAATTACATTTCATGCTTAAGTTTTCAGAAAAAACTCTGTGTTAAATTTCAGAGTAACTGAAGACCTAAATACGATAATCAAAAGTAATAGGTTTTATGCAAGAATATTCTGTTATGTTTTCTGACCTTTGGAGGGCATGTTTTCTGGCCTATAAATCTCTAACTCTTTTTCTGGTTTTGGGGCTTAGCCGAGAGGGGGGATTTTGGGGTTGTTGGGTTTTTTCATTTTGGTTTGGTTTTTTTGGAGGGAGGGGGGCATTTCTATTTTTTTGGCAGTTTTGCAAACTTGCCCTGATAACCTGACTTTCAAATCAGTGTAGGTCTGTATTAGGAAAGTAGCATAACATTTCTGTAGGAATTATCTAAAGAGAAAACAGTTACTGCACACTTTACCAAAGATGTGTTTTCTCTGGACTGCCTACATAGCAAAAAAGATTGAAAAACTTTATTTTGGTTGGAAAAGTAAGCAGACATGACCAAATATGTACAAACTGCTATTTTTATATTCTGTTTTCTGACCATAACCACAGTTAGGTCTGTTTTTCAGATCTATTCAGAAATGCTAGATATTCACAGTTTGAGCAGGAGTCTTTACATGTATAGTGAGTAATACTAAGTCACAATAAGCTTTAAAGAAAGATTTTCTAAATGAAACAGCATTTGTCATATAAATCACCTCTTTTGATCAAAATAAACCTTTTTAATTCTTGATTTATCTGGTAAGGTATCAGTCTGTTAAAGTCCTACTGGATAATAAGACAAATAAAATAAGCAAGTGCTTGCAGTAATTATTGTTTAACATAGAGTTGGTCGATGAAAAAGTCTCAGGCTGCCTGAGTAGTTTAAGCCAAGCAGTTGTGCTACACATTTCAAGCAGGATAAAATTTTATTGTCTTTTTTTACAAACTGGTCTTTAGACTAGAAAGGGAAAAGACTGAGGTGTATGCTGCAAGATTTGACACTGCTGGGAAAGGCAGAGTTTAAGCAGAGCTACAGCACATGCCAGGTCTCAATACTTGCTGAGGTACCTCAGCCAGAGCCCCAGCTCTGGAGACGTGTGGTACTTTCCAAACTAATCCCCACACCTTCTTCATGCAGAAAGAAAAAGGGAAATTGGGTGTAAAAGCTGAGAGGAAGAATAGGAAGAAGGGGATAACAAGATCCATGCACAAGGATTAATGTCCAGTTGAAAGGGGAGGCTCAGAAACTTCATAGGCTACTATTTTAGATTCAGTCAAAAGGACTTAGCATGTCATCATACTAAATGTTGCAGATCAGAACTGTAATCCCAGAGGGCAGATTCACCACACCAGTCAAGTGCAGGGAAGCAGGAAAGTGGCTCCTCAGATGAGGCTCCTTGTTGATCACCCACCAGGGAAACTCAAGAATGAAGACAAGCCATGCCTCGCTCTGCACTGAGGGCACTAACCTGCAGACATGAAGCAGACACCAAATATGGCATTCACAGGTAACATTCCAAGTGTATTTACTAAACAAAACTGTCTAGCTTTAAAACACCTCGTAGTCCTTTGGCCTGTGTCAGAGCTTACAAAATAATAAAATTATTCAGGGGCTGGCTATGACCCACCTTTGATACAACTTGGCTTGAAACTATACAGCTGCACTTTCCTCTACCCCAAAACAAACTACTGTAAGCAGCTTCACACCTTGATGAAACATGCTCATGGCACAAACATGCAAAATAATGCAGTGCATATGCAAAATATGAAACATCCTAGGTTATCATATTATACACAGATGCATGCTCCTGGGGAATGGAAAATATGGGTTTGAAGTTGCTGAGGTTAAAAAGGAACACGAGCTCCAAAGTGACTTGGATGTGCTTGGTTTCCCCCATTATACTTCATAATATTCAAACATACATAACTCACAACTCTTCCTGCACCCAGACTCCCAGGTATTCAGGTTTGGTTCCTAAAGCCTAGCCAGGTAACCCAGCATTCATTCAGTAGCATAAATCCTTATGGATTTCCTGTGTGAGACATATTGTAACTGCTTGTCACATATATGTTATATGTTAACTAAGAAGAATTAGGATGAATAAGAAAACAATTTTTAACTTCTAGTATGAAAGTCACTGAAGTAATTTATGGAATGGTACCCAATGGCAGCAGATGACAAAACAGCTCTTCAAGAGCAGTTCAGAAATTGCTATTTCCAATAGTTTGGAGCAAAAAAAAACCCCACAAAACAAAAGCAAAAAAACCCCAAACAACAACAACAAAACCTCCCACACACAAGGCAAAATCTATATACAGTACATTGCTATTGGTAGGAAATATCTGTTCAAATTTTATCTGATCAAAATTTATATATTTCCACACCTAAATTCTTCATCTACAAGATCAATTTTGCAAACAAATGTGCATGCAAAATTATTATTATTTTCATTAAAATTTGCAGCGATATCCATTTGAAGTTTTGGGAAATGTGCTGCATTACGTCTATGTGCTTTTAGAAACACAAAAAATCCCTCACTCAACTCAGAAGAATTTTATTCCCCGTATGTACTCTGAATTTAAGTATATTGACTGAGCATGTTAAACTTCATGAATATATTTGTTTCTTTCCTCTTCTATTAGTCTCTGCAGTGTCAAGAAACTCTGCAAAGAATAAACATCATTGGTAGTACTGGTAAGTAGATTCTAATGTACTTCGTATTACTCAAGGCCTAACTTGA